GTGTGTGTGTGTGTGTGTGTGGCGAACCAGAGGTCACAGCCTGAAGCCTCGGAGTCTTTCCCCCTGACCTTCACAACTCCATCTTCCGCCCACTCAGCAGAACCGGGTCGGGGTGGGGGTTGGGGGAGTTAGCACAGCCGGAGCTGTTGGGTGCGCAGGAGAGACTCGATCAGATGCGGTTTGTTTGCGATGTGCCCTCCTGACAAAGCGGCTGACTCCTTGGTTTGGACATAATGGGGCCTCTCATCCGTGGCGTTGCTGTTCTCCTTTGTGACTGTGGTCACTTCGTTGCAAGGTCTATTAATAGACGATACATCATCGTGAAATCATCACCATCATCTCCCTCGTCAACAGCACATGATGGTATGTTGATGTTTTCCTCCTCTCCACCCTGTCAAGCCCACAATGCCGCAGTTAATCTACATTTTAGCATCTCACTAGCGGAGCTAGTTTTAAGAAAATTAAAAAGACGTAATGGTGTCCTGGAAAAGTGCTCTTATCACCCATGAACTAAACGCTCCCTTCTCTTTCATGGTGGTGACCCCATCATGCTGTGGGGACGCTTTAAATTAAGAGTCAAGGAAGCCGGTCAAAAGACTTGAAACCTCATGACTGTTTGGATCAAAGCATATTTCAGTTAGCAGTGGGTATTTAACGTATCGTTTATCATTTATCGTGAAAAACCTTATCGTGATAAGAATTTTGATTTATCGTCTCGATAAATTTTAATTGATATCAAATTTTTTTTAAAAGAAACTTACAGTATTATTGGAAATGTTATTTTTACAATTTTGTCCACTGTTTCACAAGAACGTCAAAAAGTATCAGTAAATTTAAAAATATGATTAAATGCAAATACTGTGTGAAGTTTAGCTTTTTATTCACATTTCTTTCAGTAAGTGGAGTCCTGAAGAGACCTGTTTGTTAATAGGAATGTTTTTCCAGGAACAATATTTGTGTTTGTGGCACCATGAATGCTGTGCCATGCAGTCTTAACTATACAATACCTAAAAAAGAAGCAATAAATTGTTTTTTTTCTTCACAATTTTTATTGCTGTCACAATAATCCATGACATTCTACGTTCATATCACCCCCCACTCCTAATTTTAGTGTTACAATGCTCCAAAATGCAGTCCTAAGGTTGACAAAAGACTGAAAATAAGGAAAGAGGGAAGTTTGGAAATATAAATACTTATTCATTTTTCAAATGACTTGTTCCAATATCATTAGGAATATATGGGATGCCATTTATAAAGTTACACAGTAAAAAATGAACAACAATACTTTTGGTTTATTTAGTCAATCAGAGGAAAAAAATGCAGAAGTTCATTTTTCAGTCATTTTCACCATGTTAATCATTCATTCATAAATGTCAGAGTTCATAACTAAATATTTAATTCATAAATATTTGAAAACTAAATATTTAGATTATAAGCTCAATATTTAGTTTATAAATATTCAGTTGGAAATTAAGTATGCAGTTAGGAAGCTATTCCGTCTGCAAACTAAATACTTAGTGTCAGTCTGAAATAAATAATTGGCTTTAAAACTAAACACTTAGTTTACAAACTAATTAAGCTCTAAATTCAATATTTATTTTACAAACTAAATACTTAGTTTCAGACTAGATATTTAATTTCCAAATTAAATATGTAGCTTGCTGACTAAATATTTAAGTTGCTAGTTAAACATTTAGTTTGCAACTAAATAGTTATCTAATATGCAAATTAGCTTGCTGATAAGGGGAAGTGGAATATCAAAATAAAAGCTGGTTTTTGAGGACCTGTATATAATTTGACGTCTAGCTACAAATGTTTGCCATTCGGTCAGACAATGTAGAGTTGAGACAAAACTTCAGCTTTTGATGTTCATTTTTAGCACTTGACGACATGCCGGGATTTAACTGCTCCTAATCTTTCATCTGACTGCACAGATTTTATGTTCGGGAAAATCTGGACTCAGAAACCCCGTCCAACAGACAGAGAGGGATTCTTCATGTAAAAACTCTGCACTCAGATGATATCTCAACTTTTTTCCACTCCAGTTATTAATTCTCGTTTTGTAGCTGCTCTGCAGAATGAGTAAGCACCTTCCAGGAAATGCTATCTTCGGTCATCTTCTGCGTCAATTTATTTTTGGTGTTTGAGCATAGAGGACACTGTTAATATGTGGAGCATTGTTGGAGGAGCTTTCCTAAAAAAAATGACTGTGAACAGAACATACCAAGTCGCACATGTATCATCTTTGGAAGCGCTCCAATGTTTGCATGGGGCTTTAGCGCAAGCGTCATAGTTGTGTTTAACAGTAGTAGGTAGAAGAAAGGAGAGTTCATTTCCTCAGTCTGACTTTACAGTGCCTTGATGTGTTCTTACCGTTTGATGTCTCTGATGATTTGCCTTGTTGCAACCACAAACCTCAATGTTGTTTTTTTGGGGAATTTTGTGAAATAGATGCATAGCAGTGCATGATTGTAAAAAGGAGAAACATGAATATTTTTCCACATTTTATTTTTATTTTTTTTGTATAATATGAAATGCATTTGTATCATAGCCCACCATGTACTCCAAGCCATCACTCTACTACCACCATGTCTCACCATGTCTTTGTGTTTTTGGTAGACAGAAGGCCTTTGTGTTCTTTTGGGTCATCAGTGTTGTTTTGCCCTGCCACCTTCCCCATCGATGCCATGTTTGCCCAGTCTCTCTTTCCAATTGTTGGATCATGAACACCGATCTAAACTAGGGCAAGTGAGGCCGGCAGAGCTTCAGAAGTTGTTCCGGCTTCCTTTACGGCCTCCTTTTTGAGTCACCCATGTGCTCCTGGAGCTATTTTGTAGCCTCCTGAGAAGGTTTTCAGCTGTTTCGCGTTTCCTCCAATTGTGGATAATGGTTGTCACTGTGGTTTGTTGGAGTCACAAAGTCTTTGAAATGACTTTATTACCTTTTCCAGTCTGATATATGACAGTGACTGTCACTTTTCCCCATTTTGAGGTATTTTAGCCTTTGTCACGGTGTTGGTCCGATTCTATTTAAGTGGTTTTATTTGAACAGGACAGTGCATATAAATGAATGTACAACAGTACATTCGTAAAAAGACTGGATTTAGCCAAATGTTAATTTCCATCTGTTGCGCCATTAAACAAGCACAAGCTAGAAAATGACATTAGTACTATTTCAAGAATAAAAATAAGAAATACAGTAGAAATAAATAAAACCTACATCTGTCATAAAAATAGTAACTGGAACACAAGGTTTCTAAAAAAAGGTAGCTAAGGTTCAATGATGATTACTTACCAACCATGCTTTGAGTTGACCTTTGAAACCCTCCCGTAGTCTGAAGAGTTGGGCTCTTTTGGCCCCACAAACTTTTTATTTCATTTGCGGTCCAAGGGGAGGGGATTGCACTGCTCCCGTGTGAGCTTTTCTGAGTTTTTTGTGTGTGTGGTTTCGGGAACTGACGGTCTGACGGTACACCCCTCCACTTGTCAGCTGTCTGGCCATAACATCTGCAGTCACGCTAACACTGCAGGAGGTTAAGGAGCTCTTTCTAATGGTAGAACATCGTTTAATTGATAAAACATTCAGCGAAAAGGAAGATTTTCTAAAGAGCCTGGAGTCAGGACTGTGAGGTTCTGTTGAAGTGGTTTCTTAATTCTACAGTTTTGGTAAGTAATCAGGCCTGGGTGTGGACAGTGTAATTGAGCCAAAAATTGAGATTCAACAAGGACAGCAATTATATTTTCACACAGGACTAGGTGTGGGCATGGACAGCTATTATTCTTTCACAATTGAAGTCATTATTTGAAAACCATCTTCGTCTGGCCCTTTGTTCTTTTAAGATCTGGAACATTTGAGTGTGGTAACAAAGCAAAAACTGTACCAAGGCAGAGGCACTGTAAATGTGACTGGACGCCTGTAAGAATTACTCCACAGGCAAAGGAGGATGAAAAGAGATGAAGCTGATGGCACACGTGGAGATAGTTGGAGGGAAAATGACTGTGAAAGAGTTCCAAACCTGTTCTGTTCGCCATATCTCGCTGAAACGTTTGAACTCCCCGGTCTTTGCCAGATGTCTCAACAGAAACTCGGATGAATCCTGGCAATCAAACCTGCGCTACTAGCAAGGCAACATGTCAGGCAAGCAGTGAGGTTTCTCCTCAAACTCATAGCTAAACATTGACTGAAAATGATATGCAGAATGTCACAGCCTCCAAACCTGAGGGATGTTAAAACCTTACGGGCCTCATCTACTTGCATGTTTCACCAAAAGGCCTCTGAGATTTCCTCGACCAGCTTCTGCCACTTACTATTGGTTCGGTGAACCTGAAGCAGCCTGCAGGACTTCTGAGTCATGTTCCTGACTTTGGGGCAATCTGGACGGCTTCTAGTCAATCAAAAGTAGGGTTCATTGATTTGAGGCTCAGAGGTCAACTCCATTTTTGATACTTTTGCATTGTTCTGCCCCCCTATTTTGCCTCTTCTTTAGTTTATAGCAGATAGTTTACAACCACGGCAATGACAGTAGAATGAGTTCTTGATGTTAAAAGACAGAGCGCCTGTAGTGCAGGAAGACATTTACTGTAAGAGAAACGCGGGGTTGCGGGTGCATCTATGTGTCTCTGGAGATTTAGGACTGCTGACATTTTCTCTTTAGAGTCTTGAAGTGGCGCTGCTCAAAATCCTCCTCTACCAACAAAGTCTCCGGCACATTTTGAACTCGATGAGCTCGCCTTCTTGCCAGACTGCATCAGATCGTTTCTTCGAGTGGGTCTCCTCAGCTGCGGTTTGGCTCAGACAGCTGCAGCCGCCCGGCTCAGAAGTACGTGTTTGCCTTTGCCTCTTCATCTGCCACATGGTCCAAACATTTTTGGCTTTTTCTCAAAACAAAACAAAAAGTAAAAAAAAAAAAAAGCATCCCCGGAGTACAGCCAGGGCGGCCTCCGAAGAGCTCATGATCTGTTTCAATTTTGTTGTATATAAATCATCAACCCAAGCAGGAATTCTCTTTTACTGGTTTTATTTAAGTGCCAGAATACTGGAAAACAGCTGCTGTCATTTTTATCATAAAAAAAGTCTGTGTGGGAATAATCATGTTTGCTTTCCACATTCGCCTGTCAGCGTTTGTTTCTAGTCTGTGTTGAGTCTCATCCTGGGTGTCTGCTCCGCTTCCTGGTGTCCCTCCATTGTCTGAAACCAAATAAAAACAGAGGAAATGTTTAGGATCCAGACACCAAGACGTCATAGCTGCGCTGAAGTCAGACCAGGGAATCCCTTCTGTGGGGATAAAGGTGGGGCCAAGGAGCGTTGTTAGACACAAAGCCAAAGTCAGACACAAGACTGTGTATAAATAAGTCCAGACTGAAGCTTCCATTTATTTAAAGAATGGCCGGCCTGAATTCAACGGTGTTTTCACAGCTGATAGTAGACTGGTTTTGATTAGGGACCAAAGCTGCAACATTTGTTACATCTTCAGCTGTTGTGGTTCACTTTCACACTGCACGGTCAAACAATCCAAACTATTTGAAAAACTTGTTCTCCTCCTCGCCTGTGGTGGCGCTGCACCAAGGACCACTCAAGGGAAAGACACAAAAAGCTCAGAAGAAGACATGAGAACATCTTCCTTCTTGGCTTCTTCACAAAATGTAAATAAAAATGGAGTAGCATCAGACTTTAGTGGTTGGAAGATTTCACTTTTGTCCTTATTAAAGAGAACAAGCCATTTCTTCAGCTAAAACTAAACTTGCGCTTTTGTTTTACTTGTATTTACCCAGAATGCCCTGCGCTATGTTTTGATTCATGCTTTTGGAACGGTCTCTGGTGATCTTAGCGTTCACATACACATTCAATCTGTGCCAGAGTTCATTTCAACCAAACTGATATTTTAGTCCGACTAGAGTTCACCTTTATGGTCCGCATCAGAGTTCGATTACGCGTTCACACCTCCCCAAACGAACTGGACAAATTGGAGTTTGACTGAAGCGGATTAAACAATGTCAGTCCCAAAATATATATCTGTTTCTTTCTTTACTCTTTGTCATAAGTATTTTCATTGCTCTGTGGCCTTTAGCATCCTGGGCTACGTCATTTGTGTTGTGCTGTGAGACTATGTCCAACTGGCTAGATATTATATTAGCTGGAAAAATGCATATTATTAACAAATGAAATCTATCAGCCAACAGATAGTGCCATCCAAACAGTATGAATTCTGCACCTATTGATATTGCGATGACTATATATTTGTGATATAGAGTGCAGCCATTTGTCGTATTATGCTGAAGACACGAGGAGGCTAATTTTGCAACAGGTTTACATCCAGGATTACACCTGTTGAACTGAACAGTTTTGAACTGTGGACCTCCACTGTCTACCGGATGATTACCGACTGGTAGACTCTTGTCCTCTTGAGTTTCTTGTTGAGAACTACTTGTAATTTTTATGAAAGTTTCATCTTTACGTACCTTGACTCAAGCCCATTTCGGCTCCCGGCTCTAGACCCGTCTTCACAAACCTCTCAACTAAACGAACTTCCCTCCAGCCGGCCTGATCTCACCTCAAACCACCTCTGGAACCCGATCCACGTTCCCCCGGCTCCACATCAGAACCTGACCTACTTCTCAAATTGTGTCACAGTGCCTCAAACCACAGTTAGTGGTCTCCCTGTGTCGAGATCAGTTTCTATTTCACTGTTCAACCTCAAACCCCAAATAACTTCTCCTCCTTTGGACGTTCAGGTATCCACTCGCTGGAAACTAAACAGAACCTCATCAGTAAAAGATTTCTGTAAATATTGTAAATAAACTTGTTGCTTTTAAGGAAACTACCTCCCATCATGACCGATCCATCCCCAAAGCGTGATGCTAAGACCACCATGTCTTCTGGGAATACAAGCATTTACTTTACAAGCCTGGCCTCATCAAAGCACTCCAAGTGCATAAAAATGCTACACTGAACAATTTTTATGAAAAATAAACAACTTTTAAAAATTTTAGGTCCTCTTTACTGCAGCATATTTTTGTAAAACAATATTCCCATTTAGAGTTGAAGTGGACATTAGCTAATGGGAGTGTGACGACTAGCATCAGAAGCTATGGACTGAATGTGTCTCCTTTCCCATCTCCAGCCTGCCCAGTGTGATGACAGCTGCTGTAGTTTTGACAAACAGATTGATTCTGTTGTCAGATTAAGTTTATTCCAGCTTCGTCTCCTGGCTAAAGTGTTTTATCAGTCGCTGTAACATCAGTTTAAGATCTAATTGTGGCAGTGCCACAATCTCTTTTGCTTTCCTTCAGCTAGTTGGAAATCCTGCAGCTGTTGTTTTGACAGACACGTCTGCATCATCCTGGTGCTTTTATGTCTCCACAGGCTTCCAGTTCATTTAGGATTCAGTTTAATATCCGAATGCTGGTTTTTAATGCCATAAACAGTCTTTCTCCATGTTATTTCTCAAAAATTGTGACGTTTTGTATGAGACTGAAGTCTTCAGATCAACACCTCGTAGAAGTACGAATTCTTTGCCAGTGAAATTTACTTTTAATACTCGATACTATAAGCACTGTGACACTCTAATACTTGTACCCTCGTTTTATGTGATGGTTACATTGGGAACATGTTCTCCCATGTTTTTTAATACACATATTTCTACTTTTATGTGCAGTTTTATTTTTTGTGGTGTTTTTATTTTTTCTGTTTCATTTTTGCTCTGGTTTTGTTTTGGATCCTATTGGCTACTAATGATTTCCAAGTTTGGACACGCACAATGTTACATTTTTTTTAAATGTTCCACGCTTAGACATAGAGACGATCATTGTGACTGGAAATTTTTGTTATCACGTTTTACCTACGGTTAAACTCTAACCGTCAATCGTTACAAACCCCATAAAACAACAATACAGTTAGGACTGTTATTTGTGACATCATTTCTCCATTTTTGGTTACACAAGACTATTTGTTAGAAAATATTAAAAGCATTTATTGCACCCTGTCCAGTAGCACAATTGGACAGAAGTCACCTTTTTTAAGGTTTGTAGGGTCGTATCCGAGTTTGTGGCGCTTCTACTGTTTGAACATTGACATACAGTCATAGCCGTACATCACATTCAAATTATTATAGTTATTGTTTTTGCAATGAGTATCACAAAATATAGTGATATTGAAATATTTAACATATTGTTTATATATGCTGGTATGGTAACGCCTGTGTGGTGTGAACATGATTATTGGAACTGAAACCCAGGCACACTTGAAATATACAACGGAAAAGTTATTGTAGAGGCCCTCAAACAACCTGAAAAGTAAGCGAATCCATTAGAAAACATGTTAAATCTTTGAGTTTGTGTCTCACTCATGCTGAGATAATATATATATATATATATATATATATATATATATATATATATATATATTTTTTTTTTTTTTTTTTTTTTTTTTTTTAAATCCTCACAGTGGGGGAGCGGACAACAAAAAACTTTCATCACCAGATGTTTTTGGGGTCTACCT